TTTTAATAATTTCGCAGCTATACCTCAGAGTTTCAACTACATTTTAATTCAAAGCATAGGGTCATGGGTCCTACCTAACGGGCGTTTGTTTCCAAGAATTTGATGAAGATTTTGCTACCTTGTATTGACAAATGAGTCCAGCGAGTTTAATTTTCAATATTTATCAAATAAAATATTTCATTCTTATTTTTCATACTAAAGATTTTGGGGTTGACACGTAGGATAGGTAGATCAAATGAGACCCATGAAAATTATAGTATGATGTCCTCAACAAAATTCATATACAATCAATAAAACAAAAGTTTATCGGGATTTATCCTTCTTTCAAAGCCTATCATTATCCATTGCAAGCAAATAAGATTTTGAGTTGGGTTTTCCAAGATCCTTTGATAACTACAACACATCAGCATAAATAAACATGTATAGCATTACAAACATGACATCTTTTATACATTTTTACCCTTTGTTAATTTGTGTCATTACTCTCACACTCTTCATCTTCTTCAGTAATTTCAACCTTTTAACAACCTCTTGATATAGTTAGGATAGTTTTTGATAGTAAATGATATTTTTTTTCTTTTCCATATTGATCAAAGTCTTTGATACTTTTTCTTTTATAAATATAATATGTACTACTTTAATAGAAAACTAAAAGTATACACTCTAGTTTTATGAAATTTAGCCTTAAACTAACAGATTAATCGCAAATAAACCTTTTATATCATTGTGATGACACTAGTAGAAAATCGACCAAACTAGACGGAACAATCTAGACGGAAAAAAATTCCGTCTAGTTTGGAGCAAACTAGACGAAAAATTTCCGTCTAGATTGTTCCGTCTAGTTTGGATCAAACTAGACGGAAAATTCCGTCTAGTTTGACAAACGAGACGGAACAGTCAACCTAGACGGAATTCCGTCTAGGTTGACTAGTCAACCTAGACGGAATTTCTGTCTAGGTTGAGGCAACCTAGACGGAAATTCCGTCTAGGTTGCCTAGGGCAAACTATCACGCCGCCACCCCCCCCCACATTTTCTCGTTCAACCCTACTCTTCCCCTGCCTCCCCCCCTCCCGACCCCCGCCTCCGCTCCCTCGCCCCCCTCGCCCCCCCGAACCCACTCCTTCGGCCCCCCTTCCCCGAGCCCTCCAGTCCCCCCTGCCACCCCGACCTCCTCGGCCTCCTCCCAGCCACCCCTCGGCCGCCCCTCCGGACCCCCCTCCTCTCGCCACCCCTTCCCCGAAGCTCCCCATCCCCTCCTTCCCGACCTCCTCGACCCTCCATCCTCCCCCTCGGCAGCCCCCCTCCCCCTCCTCCGGCAGCCCCCCTTCCCCCCTCCCCCCTTCCCTGAGCCCCCATCCTCCCATCAGAGCCCCCTCCCCTGTGACCTCCCCTCCCCTCGACAGTCCCCTATCCCCAATCGGCAGCCCCCCCTCCTCCGGAACCTCCCGACCCCCCCTCCTTCGGCGGTGTCCGTTGCGGAAATCAGTTTAAAAGGTATGATTTTTCTACTGAGCTTTAGAAATTTCAATTTTATTATTAATTATTGTTGAATTTGGTTAAAAACCCTAATTATGTTGAAAAATAAACGAGTTCAATTCTGAAAATCCTAACTTAATTAAATACATGTTAATTCATTTGAACAACACTAGTTATCATTATTGAGTTTTAAACACTTATAAACCCTAACTCATTTAAGTTTCATTCGTGCTATAAGTATGTGTGATTATTTAAGTTTGTGATGTGAAAATATGTGAAATAATTTTTTGTAAAAAATAGAGTGATATATAACACATTATAAATTTTTATAATGTGTTATAATCCAATTTAGGTGAATAAAAAAATAACGTTATCCCTAGACTTCCGTCCAATAATTACATCCAATTATTTGGACTTATAATATATGATATACGACTCAGATTTGGGTAGGAGACGAAGTTTTCTCCCAAAAATGAGCGTTTATTTTATATTATAGGAATAAAAAATTGGTACTGAAATTCGTAATTATTGGATCTGTCCTTCTCGGACGGGTTAGGAATATAGTAGTGCATACATCCAACTTTGTATACTTTGTATATTTTCATTCTTGAAAGTTTTGGCAGCACCTATTCGTTGTTCTCCGTGTACAATAAGCGTATGTTGTTCTGCGTTTCGGGTTATTACTGATACGCATAATAACATCCGCACAGTGTACAGGGAGAACAGCGGGTAGGTGCTGCCGAAATTTTCAAGAAATGAAAATATACAAAGTATATGAAGTTGGATGTAAGCACTACTATATTCTTAATGGATAGAAGCCTTCCTATGACAGCCGCAAGATTAGTGTAATTAGTTTTTACGTATGTTTTATATATATTTTATGTAGATAAATATTCATATTGTTAAATGATATATGAACGTATGTTTGATGTGTGTTGAATGTATAAGAGTAATGGATGTATTAGTAGTTGTGAGACTAATCGTATTTAATATTTATATATAATTTACAGATGAGGATAATTCCTGACAAGTCATGGATAGATATCCCTAGGCATCATAGATTTCGTGACACACGATACAAGGAGGGATGTGAAGCCTTCATGCGTTATGCGGAAATGAATCCGAGAAATTTAAGAAGCGGTGCTATGTACTGTCCTTGTTGTAGGTGTAGGAATTTGAAGCTGCTGAATAGAAATGATATACGGATTCACCTAATAAAATCAGGTTTTGATGAGAAATATAAATACTGGAACTGGCATGGGGAGGGTATCACTGAAGATGAGGATCCAAATATGCATGTTGGTACGTCCGGTGGCCAACGAATAGATGACACAGAAACATTGTTGAATGATATTTTTCCTCGACCTACAGAATATGATGTTGATGATAATGTCGAGGATGATATTGGAGACAAAAGTGAAGATGATAACGAAGTTGAAGCCGAAGAGGTAGGAGGTGTCGCGAGTGTCGAAAATATTGATTATATGCATTCCTCCGCAGAAATAAAGCGAATAATGGAGCTACTAGAAGATAGTGAAAAGGACTTATATGAGGGATGTACCGAGTACTCCAGATTTTCATTTATGCTGAAACTCCTTCATATTAAGACACTTAGCGGTATGTCAGATAATTATTTTGAAATGCTTCTTGATTTGCTTCGGACTGTAATCCCTGGACGAGAGAATAGCATACCCCAAACAACTTATCAAGCTGAGAAGATTGTCTCTGCTCTGGGTCTTGATTATAATAAGATTGATGCATGTCCGAATGATTATATTTTGTACCACAAAGCCAATAAAGACCTTCAAGAGTGTCCGACATGTGGAGTTTCTAGGTGGAAACAGCGCACAAATTCTTCAACAAGGATTACAACGGAGACAGGGATAACACAGAAGAAAATTCCAGTCAAAGTGCTTCGACATTTTCCATTGGCTCCTAGATTGCGAAGATTATACATGAACAAGGAAACGGCAAAGAATATGAGGTGGCATAAGGATGATCGAGTAGACGATGGTAAATTGAGACATCCTGCTGATGCTTTAGCTTGGAAGCATGTTGATAAAATTTATCCTCGTTTTGCCGAAGATTGCAGAAATGTAAGACTGGGTTTATCAAGCGACAGATTCAATCCATTTGGAGTAATGAGCTCTGGCTGGTCTACATGGCCAGTTGTATTAATGCCATATAATTTACCTCCATTGCTTTGTATGAAACAGCCGTTTATGATACTTTCATTACTGATACCCGGTAAGCATGCTCCGGGAAATGATATTGATGTCTACTTAGAGCCTCTAATTGATGAGCTAAAACAATTATGGTCTGAGGGTATTTTAGCATATGATGGCCATTTAAAAGAGTCGTTTAGATTACGTGCTATTCTACTATGGACGATTAATGATTTTCCAGCTTATGCTAATCTGTCAGGGTACTCTACGAAGGGCAAGTGTGCTTGTCCTGTATGTGGTCCAGAATTTAAAGCTATTCAATTACCACATAGCTCTACGAAGGGCAAGTGTGCTTGTCCTGTATGTGGTCCAGAATTTAAAGCTATTCAATTACCACATAGCTGAAAGATACGTCCCAAGGGCTCGATAGCTGAAGGATACGTGGCTAACGAATGCTTTGTGTTTGCATCACGTTACATGCGTAAGAAGAAAACCACATCTCAAGCACCTCAAAAGGAGAGGAAGCGTGAAAAATACCCGAGATCTCTCTTAGATCAAATTCATGCATATGTGTTGGAAAACCTTGATATGTTCGAAGACTATCGAAGGTAACAAATAAAATCTGTAATATAGATGAGAAATATTCATTTTACATATAGTTTATCAATACAAAGTTATATATTGTTTATATAGGCGACATCTGGAGAAGCTTAAGAATGAAACAACCGGTAGGAATGCAGCGCACAATATTCAGAAAAGACATAAGAAAGAATTTGCTGATTGGTTAAGATTTGATGTAAGTGTTTTACAATTAATTATTGAACATTCATAATATAACATCGCCTAAATATTCTCAAATTGTTTGTCTTAGGTTGAAAAATCACTTCTTGATGATACTACATTACCAGATGAAATTATTATCCATGCACAACGTCCTTATCACGAAGTGAGACGTTATAATGAGCATTTGGTGAATGGATATAAATTTCGAACGTTAGAGACCGATGATAGGAGGGTAACTCAGAACAGTGGGGTCATGGGCTTGTTTGCCCAAGAATGTTTTTCAAGTATAAGAGATCAGAATCCAATTCTAGCTGACATATTATATTATGGCCAATTAGAAGATATCGTTGAGGTAATTTACGGGTTTGGTAAACCAAAACAATGTACTTACACGATGTTCAAGGTTCGGTGGTGTCCTGCAAAAAAGCAAAAGGATCATTATGGATTTACACTAGTCAATCTTCACCGAGAAGTATATACGGATGAGAAATTCATTTTCGCAGAACAAGCTGATCAGTGCTTCTATGTGAAAGATCCGAATGTCATGTATGATTGGGTGGTTTTGTACAAGGAGCCAAGATCTGTTGTTCTTCCTAATAACAATGAAAAAAATATTGAAGAAAGTGAAGATAATTATAGTGAACCAATCGGTTCATCTGATGATGTTTGGCAAGAATTCTCTTACGCACAGAATGTGGCGCTGGATGTAGGTATGAACCTGATATGTTACACCACATTATCGATTTTTATCTTATCATAATAAAAACAATAATGCATTTCATAACAACATCTCATGAGCATGTATACAATTTTTTTCTTAACGATTGTCTTTATTATATTTGCAGATGAGGAGGAGGATGAGGAGGCTCTTTGACCTGGAGGGTGATCGCTCACGGAGTATCACCCCAGGTAGTGGTGCTGATGATCCACTACCATCTCCGGATGCAGGTATAAAAATTAATTAATACTTTAACATGTTTTATAAATTTTTAGTTATCTAGCTCATAGTGTTCATTTGTTGTAGATGCTGGATATTCATCACCCGGCCCCTCTGATGCAACACCAGAACCATCCCCCGACGCAGGTATTAAATATTTAATAATTGATAATGTTCAATTAAAATTTAATATTAATGATTCTTCTATCTTATATAGGTGCTACTTGGACCCCGACATATCCATCATATACATTCCATACTGACTTGCGGCCAAAGACCCAGGACTTTCTCAGTTTACCTTTACCTCCAGACTCTCATAAGTCCAAGGCTGATTCAAAGAAGTACCACCCACGTGCTGCGAGAAGGTATCAGGAAATGCTTCCTATGTTGGAGACTAGGAAATCTGTTGCACTCGCAGCAAAAGAAAGAGAGATAGCGAATGGTAAATTATATAAATACTTTTAATTTTCACATTTGTATATTATATGATATATTATCATGTTGTCATTATTGTAGGTGCTAAGAAGGATCGCATAGAGGGACGACGTGGCGGAGGTAAGCCTGATTCTAAACAACCGCCAAGAGGAATGAGGGGCATTATTAGGTGGAATAGTTCTAATTTGCCCGTTGGTCCTTGGTCAACCCGATTGAATGCATATATTGGGGTTCTCGTGCGTAGAGCGACCATTATCAACCCTTATTTTCATTTTCGAGAATTACCATGGACCGCATACGAGGTGATATGGACTGCGCTTATGGTAAGTGCATATTGTTTTAGATTTTCATTTATTAATAATTAGTAATTGATATTAAATTATCCTTACTAAATATGTATGTAAATCTACAGGACTGCTTTTGCCTTGAGGACTTTGAGAGGGCTTGGAATTATGTGTTTAATGTCAAGGTTGAAGCAGTCCTCAAACAATGGAGGCATGAGATCAAACATGAAACCTATGACAGGTATGAGGAGGACTGGCAGAGATTTTTAAACCTCGATGACCGAGTTGACGAGATTCATTTCACGGCTCTCCTCATGTATTGGGACAGCGATGCCGCCAAGGTTAGTTTCATGAAATTTAGTTTATAATTTTAAGATATTATTTCATTTTATATTTACAGAATTTTTTTTAAAGAATAAATCCACGAAGGGGTCAGAAAATAGAAGAAAGAAGCTGCATGACCATCACTTGGGCTCACACTCCTACGCCAATCTGGAGGATGTTTATTGTCAAGATACGGTATATGTCATTTAATGATTTAAAAGATCTTAATGTTTAGTATGATTATGAAATCTCATAATTTATAATATGACAGGGGAAATCATTAATGCCGATACACTTGAGGGCCAGAGCGGCATATGGTACTTTTCGTGAACAATATATGGGTGATGAGAGGAATCAGGATAAGATCACGGCAAATTTCGAGTTAGTGGTTGCCAACCCAGACGGAATTTCCGTGTAGGTTGACAACCCAGACGGAATTCCGTCTGGGTTGCCAACCTAGACGGAATTCTTTATTCCGTCTAGGTTGACTTCCGTCTAGATTGATCAATCTAGACGGACTTCCGTCTAGTTTGAAGCAATCTAGACAGAAGTAAAATAAACCACTCAAACTAGACGGAATTCCGTCTAGATGACCTAATCTAGACGGAATTGCAATCAACCTAGACGGAAATTTCCGTCTAGGTTGATCGTTTTTCTACTAGTGTGAGTCATATTATCACTTAAGTTTGATATTGGCGTAGAAATCTGCTAAATCTGAATATTTCAGATAGACCATGTATTTTCGCGTTATGCCTCCATTCCATAGCATTTATTTCACTTTGTGGAGGGTGATGGTGGAGTTTAGTTTAGTTTCAATGGATTTACCCATCAATATTAAATTTAAGGAATAATAAGTGGAATGGAATAATAGTTTCATGAGGTACATGTGCTTAATCCTAGGGGTGGTTGGTTAAGGCTAGGCTTTATTGCCTGTTGTTCCAACTACCTTTTAAGTTCGAATTAATTTGACCTAGACCAAATTGCAAATTGATCTAATTCTCTAGACTATGTGCATGACCTAGATTGCTCAAGTTATAATTTTCTTTAGGGTTTGTTTGGATTGAGGGGAATAAGGGTGAAGGAAAGTTAGGGGAACCATTCACCTCCATTCACCTTGTTTGGGAACATTTAGGAGGTGAAGTTATTCACCCTAGTTCCCCTTGGTTCACCCCCTAATAGTATAAAATTTGTTACCCCCAAATTGGGGTGTAACCAAGGGGAAGGGAACTCACTTCCCTTCCCTTCCATTCTCTCACCTAGTTTCCCTTAACTTCCCTTCACCCCCTACAAATCCAAACAGGCTCTTAGAGAAGTCAAAATGACTTCCCGTTTGTATTTATGCATAGATATGCAAGGACCCTAACTCGCCTCGAATCATTTTCAACCATAGATCTTGATCGGATAAATTTGAACTGTCCAATTTTGTTAAATTCTAAATCTTTGACACCTGTCATACCCTTTATGTAAGTGAAGGGTCACAATTGCTATTTTTATATTTCCTTTGAAATCAAGTTTTGAATTTATCAAGTTGTTTCATTTTGCATTCTCATAATGACTTGGGTTTATGAGAGATAACGGGCTTTAATGCATACTATCTTATTGTGTTGCATCCATTAAGAGGATATCCATTTATCCACAACCCAACTCATGAAACCTCATAAAAAAACATCATTTTTCTCCATCAAAAATTAGGCCTAAGGTTTTGAGAGCTTGGAGGCCAAGAAAATAGAACTCTATACCTAAGATAAGTGTTTTTGCTTGCGAAATTGATTATTTCAAAAGTTAGTATATGAGTCTTTTAGATCGTGATTTTCTCTATCTTTACAATGAAGAAAACTTTAATTTTAATTTATTTCTAAATTCGTGGGTTTGGATCAAGAAGAGGATTTCTCTAAGAGGTGGACTTCAACCCACAAGCTATAAATAAAAAAATACATTTACAAGGTTGAATCTTTTGGTCATGATTTTATATTTAAATTTGTGGGTTTTGTGTATTTTTGAGATCTCTACATTTAATCAAAGTTTTTGGATTGACATGAGTAGTTTTTTATTTAGTTTTGAATCGAGTGAGGATTTGGTCAAAAATATTTTGGGAGCCGTAGTTTCTAGCACAAGTGCATGCTCTCGACCTGATACGTGCATGCCCTTAGTGAAATCCAGAGGGTACTATGTTCTGCAGGGTTTGAGCGCACACTATCAAGCAGGCTTTTCAAAGATGATTTCAATTTTTTGTTTAGAACTTGGCTGACGTAGCATTAGGGTGCACGCACATGGTCAACCTCTGAGTACACACTCTCAGAATAACAAAATAGTTCTTTGGTTTTGAGATTTTGATCTGTTTATGCTCATTTCCATGTTTCTTTGGTTTCATTGCCAGATAATGATATTAGTTATGTAATTAAACTTGTTATTGCCATCTTAGCATCTTAGGTAAATTAGATGATATTTTTAATTACTTGGCTATATTTCCATGTTTATGTTGCTTTGTTGAATTCATGATTTATTCATATTTAAGTATGCAAGTAAGGCATGTTGTGATGTTATCACATGTTGTTATTTTATATTTTTTCATGTTATGCTATGTTGTGCTCTAGCCTAGAGTTCATAGACATTATGCATGTTGGTTTAGGTTATATCATGGATTTTTATTTGCTCAGTACGTTATCATGACACTTAGCCCTAGATGTATGCATGATTAGGCACCATGACGTGGTATATATATATGATGGCAATAATTATCTATATTTGGATATTGAGTGTGTCCTTTATGACACTAAATCAAGAATGTTATCTATTTTGAAATCAAGAAAGTTCTCAGTTTGAGATACAACAGTGAGTGGAGGCTTGTGATTCTCCACCACTAAAAACTTGATTGCATACAAAACATTATAAACCAAGAAAGAGAAACTAAGAAAGAAATCAAGTATATGTGTGTATCAAGTTATGATGACTTTCTTTGGCATTTAGTGGGCATGTTTTGTTTACTTTAGAAACCTAGTCGAAGAGGGACACACAAGATGGATAATCTCTACAATTGAGTTATTCGGGCCCAATGCATAACACATCATATATAACCAATTAATGAAATTGTTCATTTGGGTTTATCAACAGAAGGGATTTGGATATCTCATAGATAACGTGTGGCCCAGGGTTATGCTAGAGCACTAGTGCTAGATTAGTCTATGCACTTAAAACTAAGTAAAGTACCATGTAATATTTCTAGCAGGTGTACTAAATGCACATTACCTAGTGAGAGCATTCCCTAAATAAAATTAAGTAAAAATTAATGTTAGTTAGATATGCACACTGCCTTAACATCACACTTGAAAAAGTAGGAGCACTTGCATTGTTATCTTTATGTTGGTTATCCACGTCTGCTCTATTCTATGTTTTGCATTTTGAGATACATGATCTTTTTATGAAAGTAAGTAAAATGATATAGTTTTGTAGTCTTTCTTATGTTTAAACCAGTTATGCATTCATGATACACATTGTATATGCACAAACCACTCCTTTATTTTACCATTTGCTAGACGACTTTCTAACAGCCTTGTTTGCACACTGGTGGTGACCCCTAAATCTCCCACCCTTACTTTCAGGCACACTAGGGTCCAATGGTCTGTCATAGATAGAGTTTCTGATGACTAGCTTGTCTATCTTACTTTCAGGCACACTAGGGTCCAATGGTCTGTCATAGATAGAGTTTCTGATGACTAGCTTGTCTATCTGTTTACCTAGTTCTGTTTCATATTTTTTAACCAAACCTTGATGTTTAATTTTATCATTTCATTGCTATGTAGTAACTCTAATATTTATAGACAGTTATAGTAGTTTCAGACTTATGAGGACATGTGGTATCGCTTTTATGTATCTGAGTTGTTGATATCAATATCTGACTTGTGATATCTTTTTATGTTATTTATATCTATGAGACTTATTGATATCTGTTGAGTATCTTGGTTCCGTTGTTTATTTAAACTGAACAATTGCTTATGTCATATTTTAGTTCATTATATTTGCTTTTATGTATGACACTGTGATTCTGTTCTATGTGTGATGAATGAGATATATGCACCGATCATTGATATAGGCTTAACTATATACTTTTGGATAGTGTTTAGCCCAATTGTGTATGCTGTCTAGCCTAGTCTTGTGCCCATCAGGTGTTTCTAAGACATATATCGTGATAAGATATTTGAGTCTAGTTTCAATTGAGATCAAGTTTGCATTGAATACATGTGCTGAAAGTTAACGTGAAAATACCAAAGGGTGTGAATCTAGACTACTTGAAAGCCTACTAAAATTTTTAGATTATTTAATCAAATCAAATGTGTCTTTTAGTGTTTTCAAGATTA